CCCCCCCCCCCCCCTCTCTCTCTCTCTCTCTCTCTTCGTTGATATCTCTGTATCCGTTCGTTCTCCTCGTGGCTCGGAAAATCCGTATCGGTTGTCAGCGAGTCGCGCGTTGTTCCACGATTTATCGAACGTTCTCGAGGAAAAATCCGCGACTACCGGTTCTCGCCGGCTGCTCCCGAGGTATCTCTCGAGGTTTCCTCGCGCGTCTCTAACGCGTAATTAGTCGCGATTATCGCGTTGCCTCGATCGTTTTATGACTCTCTTATTACCGGCCGATTTGCATCGGACGCTGGAATTACGACCGCGATCGCGCCGTTGTTGCTGGATCCGCGCGAATCTCGACGCGTCGACGGGTGGACGTCGAAGAGGAGTGGCGAGGTAGCACGCGAGCGTATGTTTTTTCCGTCTTTAACCAACCGTGTCGCGTGCTCGTAGTTCCTTTTCCATTAGATTTGGACGACATTACGAAACCAGCGACGAGTCTTTCCTTTTAAGCCAACCACGAGCGTGTCGGATATTGGAAAGCACAGATGAATCGCGAACATTCCAGGGTAGTAGCGGAAAGGATTACGCTTGCGTCTAGAAACGACGAGGTGATAGGAAAATTCCGCGATCGGCGTGAAAATCGGTCGAAAATTTTCTCGATTTCCCCGACACCTCGGACAAGTATTTCGCCGTGGAATTATCGTCGGGCGAGGGTTGGAGCGGATGTTCGACGACACCCTCGAATGTTTCCTTCCCCGTTCTACGCTTCTTTCGGTTACCTGCCTCGGTCGCGCGCATCGGTTAGTCTTCCCGCGAACTTTCGATCGGAGTGTCGTCGAACTTTTGTACTCCGACCCTGCGCCGCCGCGGACATTTAAATGCAAATACGCTTTTTACTTATATTTATATGCAAATGCGGGTATTCCCGGCGGGCGGGAGAGCCGAGACGCCTGGCGAATGGAAACGGCACGCTCGAAAGGCGAGAAAAAGGCAGCAATGGGTTCGCGATACGTTGCAATTACTTGTCGCTCGCGTTCGGTCACCGTCCTCTTCGCGAATTTACGATCGCCGATCCCGTTCGCGCGTTTTCCGTGAACGGATGACAGGGGATGTCGATCGACTTGTTGTTTCTCGTATCACGGGTTGAAAATCGTTGGGAGTCGACCGATTTCATCGTCATTCGACCGATTTCGTCGTCATTCGACCGATTTCGTCGTCATTCGACCGATTTCGTCGTCATTCGACCGATCTCGTCGTCATTCGACCGATCTCGTCGTCATTCGACCGATTTCGTCGTCACTCGACCGATTTCGTCGCCAGTCAACCGAGTTCGTCGGAAGACGGTGGATTTTCTCCCCGTTCGAATCATCACAACGGGAAGAGACACGGTCGTTCCTCCGGAGGTCGATCGCACCGACGGTCGGCGAGTATCGTTATCGGTTATCTAGAATTGCCTGGTCGGAAGCGCAGCCTCGTGGCGTATAGATAGAGGCTAGAACAGCCGAGCCTGTGCCGCGTTCTTTATCTTTCCTCCGATTTCCTTCCTCCGCCTCGATGCACGGTCGCGAGGAAAATGGCCGCGTTTCTTGGGTCGTTCACCTGGCAATCAGCGAAAACCCTTGGACGCGATTCGACTTTTGCGATCTCGCTCGTCGTCGCTGCTATTCTCGCTGGGAACCAGGGAAAAGAGAGGGCAAGGGAGAGAAGAACAGGAGGAGAGATAAGAAAGAGATTGGAGTTTTAAAATCGTCATCGGCTCCCGCGGATAACAAGGGAGAGAGCCATAGCGGATGGATTCGTAAGATCGTGCCAACTCGGGAATCTCTTGCGGTGCCAACGAAGAAGATATTTAAAATGTAGATGCACTCATTTAAATACCCCGTCCGTATTCGCGATTTAATCGCTGCCGTTTCTTCGTCCCTGCCCGTGTTTCCCCTTTCTCCCTTCTCTCTTTTCTCCCTGCCATTATCCCGACAAGAGTTCTCCTCTCGCCGAAGCGGAGAGAACGAGCCGATCTGTAATCCGAAAGTTGTCAGCCGCACATCGCGCGCTGCCCTAATGGAATTTGAATGTCGTTAGCCGAAGTAACCGGGCGTGAGGAAGGGACCTTATCCCCATTACCGCGTCGTCCTCTTCGTCCTCGTCGTCGACGGGAATAGGGTCGCCGCCGTCGCCGCAGGTATCGTCCTCGGGAACCTTGGTCTACTCGACCAAGTCGAGTTTATTGGAGCGGGGAAAACGCGCGTCGAGTTTTCCAGCATCGTTTTCCTCGCTCCTTTCCAACCTTTCATCTCTCTCCACCCCCAACCTTCCCTTATTTTCCGCGACTTCTTTTCTTCAGGACAAACGATCGCGAAGAGACAAAGTCCTGGGTATCTCGGTCGGGCAACGATGATCGTCGTCTCGGTATCTTGTCATCGATGAGAAGCGACAGCCACATCGTTCGATATCGATAGAGCGAACCAAACGAACGTAGCCACGAATCGAATCGAAACGAGACCACGCTCGAACCGTCGATTTCGAGAATGGCGGAGGCAGGACCTTCGGACACCAAAGAGGACTTTCAGAAGATTTTCCAGCGGAGACTTCCGCAGTACATCGCTGCTTGCGCAGGTTCCTATCCTAATTTTCCGTACATCTCTGCTTCTTCTCGTAGCTTGCTTTTCCTCCTTCGAAATTTCATCAGACGAAAAGGACATAACCTATCCATCGCGCGTTATCGTGGATCCCCCCTTCTCGAGACTATCCCCCCATCTGAGAGTGAGTGAATTTCGCAGCGTGCATGGGCGGATTCTCGTTGGGCTGTGGCCTAGGATGGAGCGCTCCGTGCGTGGAACTTCTGAAAGACGAGCACCACTTCGACGCGTTCTCCACGAACGTGATCGCGTCGGTTTTCCCCCTGGGCGCGGCTCTGGGCATGCTGGTGGTCCCGTTTCTGATGGACAGGATCGGTCGAAAGTGGACGATGATGTCATTGGTACCCCCGTTCGTTCTCGGTTGGGTGTTCATCGCTGCCGGCGTGTCCGCGTTCGCCTTTCTGCTCATGGGCAGGCTGATAACCGGCGCGTGTGGAGGCATGTTCTGCGTCGTCGCGCCCATGTACTCGGCCGAGATGGCCGAGAAAGAGATCAGAGGTACTGGATAGAAATCGGCGGGTAAATGGACGTTCTCTCGATAGGTAACGCGCTTCCTCTACTCACCTGTCGTCGTCCGATCTGCTGTTAGGTACCCTGGGCACCTTCTTTCAAATGTTGCTCGTGATCGGCATTCTCTACGCTTACTGCTGCGGCTACGCAAGGAACGTGACGGTGACGTCCATCCTCTGTGGCATCGCTCCCATCGTGTTCGCCTGCATCATGAGCTTCGTGCCGGAGAGTCCGCTGTACTACGTGATAAAGAACAACGAGGAAGCGGCGAAGAAGTCGATGCGATTCTTCCGTGGACCCGACTACGATATCGCTCCCGAGATCAACGCGTTCAAAGTCAGTGGTACTCTCGTTCACGCGCGAATTCCACGAGATTCTTCTGAACTCGTAGTCGCGTTTGGTGTTTGGCAATATAGGAGCAAGTAGAGAGGAGCAGGAACCAACCGGTGACGTTATCTGCGTTTCTGAGGAGACCGGTCCTGTGGACCATGGCCGTGGCCTATGGACTCATGTTCGCGCAACAGTTCAGCGGCATCAACGCGATCGTTTTCTACTGTCAGACGATCTTCAGGCAGACCGGTGTCGAGATGGACTCTCTGCTGCAGATGGTGATCTTTGCCGTGGTCCAGGTGATCGCTTGCGTCGCTTCCGCCTCGCTGATCGATCAGGTTTCGTCACTGGAGCTTCGTATCCCTTTAGCGTCGAGCGAACGCTGCGTTCAACTGCATCGTTTGAGGATCACTCGTGATTTGTTTTCTAGCTCTCGTCTTGTTTTCCACTCTCGTAGAAACTCGAACGCAGCTTTCGTTCGTCCCCTCTGTCCTCGAAAAGGAGAGACACCGCTTGGAACAGGGAAAAATTGTTGTAGCTGGGCAGAAAGCTCCTCATGGTGATATCCTCGAGCGTGATGTGCGTCTGCATGATGGCCCTAGGTCTCTTCTTCGTTCTCAAGACCCACGATCCCGAGCAAGCCGACTGTCTATTTTGGTTGCCGCTCGGTTCTTCTTGCCTGTACATCCTGGCTTTCTGCCTGGGTGCCGGTTAGTAACGAAATAGTTGCACGAATCCACCTCCAGTGCATCGTGATCGCGCTTCGTTGACAGAGAAAGCAACTTTACGTTTACTTTTCCGTGGAAACAGGCCCCATACCGTGGACCTACATGAGCGAGATCTTTCCGACCAGGCTGAAGGGTACGGCTTCCTCCAGCGCGGGCTTTTTCAACTGGATGCTGGCTTTCATCGTCACCGTGTCGTTCTCCAGCGTGGTCGACGCGGTCGGTAATGCAGCCGCGTTCTTCTTCTTCGCGGTCATCTGCGCGCTCAGCGTGGTCTTCGTGATCTTCTTCATGGTCGAGACCAAGGGCAAAACCTTCGCCGAGATCCTCCGGGAGTTCGGCACTTACGAAATCGAGACGGAGTGACGCGTTGGCGCACGACGTCGGGCTAAGAAGACATGTCTGCCGCTACTTAGGCACAACGACGAAAATTGCCAACGCATTCCGTTCTACATAGAAACTCCTTTTTTTTTAGCGAAGTCAGCGAGAAAAATAAACTAGAAATTAGTGAACGATACTCCGATATTCGGTGCGAGATATTTATTCACGCGTAATTTAGAATTAACCCTTTCGCTGCGGAGTTCTCGGAAGTGCATTGCTCTCTGGGTAGCCGGCGTGTCAGTGCTAAATCGACCACGCGGAGAATTATATTCGATTATGCGTAAAAATCTCTGTACAAGAAACGTATGCTGCTAGCACGTCGAAAAGCAACGATTTAATGGGCATTATTGGACAGGTTCCTGATAACAAATGCACCGCGCGCGCACTCGGTGAGAGCGACTCTGGCTGAGCGCCTAAAGGCGGTGTTCGCAGCGAAAGGGTTAAATCTCGGTTTCCAAGGGGACGGAAAGTTTTTCCTCGTCGAACTAAAGAGGAAGGAGCGATAAGCGACACGAAAGCGAGTGGATGCAGGCTAAACTTGAACTCTCTCGAGGACCGCGGGGTTCGTGCGTGCGCGTATGCACCGACACGCGCGACGCGTCTTCGTTGCAGCCTCTTCTGCCCTTGCCGCGGTTCTCGAGTCAACAATGATGCGCCTGTGGGCTGGCTCCGCCCATCTAAAATGAAAAATCGCCGAGATTAGCGTGTGACGAGAGTTATTTATACAGCGGGAGAAGCCTGGCCCCGTTTCAGCGAAAAAGCCTGAACGCGTTCTTTCATGGACGTTGACCTAACGGGTTAATCGGGGAACATGGACCGATCGGAGCGGGCTACCGATCGAGATCGGTGATCTCTCGTCGATGGCAGACAGACCGGGGGGGTTCTCTTTATCCTCCTCCGCGTCGTCCTCCGAAGCAAGGATAAATTTTTCCTTTTGGTCAGGGACGTCGGCCCTTCGATTATTCGCGAGACAGGGGTGGTGGCTCCGTCGCGTTTTTCCACCGTTTCGCAGAGAAAGAGAGAGAGATCCTCGTCTCGCGGTATTGCGGACGAGAGACAGCTCGCTGGCAAGTACCCTCGTGGAGGTTATAGATCATCGTGGTGGTTGGTGGTGGCTTTCAAAGGACTCGACGTGGAATCGAAGGATCGGGTAGGAGACGAGACGGTTGCACCGAAATGTTGCTATTTCGCTCGGTAAATCGGCGAATACCGAGGATGAAATATCTGCTGCCCCTTACTCTCTGCCCCCCGGTGCATTTGTCATGCAGTTGCCGTCGCTCGGTAGGCGTTCGCTTTCATCGATTATGCATTCGAATTTATATTTATGAAGCGTAGTAGCTTCTCGTATCGGCGTTCTAATAATGGATGCTGCTATAAACCTCTCGTCAGGGTCGGCCGTTGCATGTCGACGTACCGCGAGCTCTCTCTCTTTCTCTCGGTATCGAGCAGCCGAGCGTCGTCTCGGCCCGGAGATTTTCCGTTCCCAGCCGTGTCCTGCGTTTTGCGGATCCTCCGTCCACGGTCCGAACCACGTCTCACGAACGTTGTTTCTCCACGTGGCCGGATGTTTACGCGCGTCGCGATTCCGCGGGGCACGGTACAGGGAGAAAGAGGAGAAAGAGGAGAAGACGAAGAGAAAACGGAGAAAATCGCGGTATTTTCCGACCCTACCAATCGCGATGCACATCTCTGCATTCGCGGAAACCGGATCGGATCGGATCAGAGGCATTACGCGCGGAATTTTCGGGCGGACTTTTTGAGCGGACGAAAATCGCAGTCCTTTCAGATTCTACCAACCGCGGATACGTTTCTTCGTCCCTCCATCTCTTCGTTCGCGGAAACTGGATCGCATCGGAGGGATTACGCTTCGAGTTTTGGAGCGGACGAAAACCGCTCGGCGAGGTTGGAGCGCGAGCTGGGGATCGAGAGATTGTCGATTCCCTTCGTCGCCGAATAAATTTACCGGCGAAACCGAAAGTATCGGAGGAGAAAGGCACGCTCGCGCAAGAAACAGCCCCGCGACGGGAGGTCAGGAGAGACCAGACGAGTTTTTCGCCCGCTCCCGGCAAGAATCGGTCGTAGGTTCTTTCTTCGTGGGAAGAAGCCGACTCGTGGAAGCGACCGGCTGAAAAATCGCCAGGCATCGTATCGCGGTCAGGATGTTTGCCAGACTCCGCGTCTGCTGCTACTTCCCTTCTCATGCGTTCGTTTCCAAGGCGAGATTCGTGCAACGCTTCTTATCTTTGCATCTCGCGCGTTCCAACTTTCGTCGCGGTCGTTCTACGCCTTTTATCGAGTTGTCCACGAACTTGCTCGAGATTTCGTTAACTCCGCGAGGACGAAAACGACAAAAAGACGCGAGAGTAGAATTCGGACGAAATCGGTGTCCTTTTCCAGCCCGTGCCCCCCCGATACACGCCGGAGATCGGTCGAGAGAGCCAGAGCCAGTTCGAAGTGGCTGGTTCGAGGCGGCTGTTGTATATTTCATGAACGGTGAGTTTCCATCCTCGTCGGTGCACCGGCAGAGAAAGACAGGCCACTGAGCGCGCCGCTGACGTGGTACGAACCACGCACGATCCCATCGTTGGACCGTTTTATTATACGGTGACGCTCGAGTCTGCGGAAAATTGCGTTTTTTCAGCGCGAGCTTTGCGGCCGCGATAGGGTTCATTACGTCTCGTCCAGTGTTTGCGAAAGCCCCCGCGAGCGAGCACCACCTTCGTTGTCTGCTCGAAAAATTCCTCGGAAAAAGAACAGGAGAGGAAATTAGAAATTATCTCGCGAGATGGATACTTCCAGGTGTTGTCCCACCCTCCGCGATATTCCATCGAACGGGATTCCATTTACCTGTCCGTGTCACCCTATCGCTCTCGAAGCTCGTGTTTACCTGTCTCCTCTCCGGCCGATCGCGTCCCGCCTCGACCCACACGCGATCCGCGCCTCAAGGTTCCGCTCGTGGATCACTCGGCGGCGGCAGACAGCGCTCGCGGGAGAGCGAACGGAGAGCGCTCGCGGGTGCACGTGTCCCCTCTCTCCGCCCTCGCCGTCTCTCCGTCTACTCGCCTCTCTTTCTCCGTTGCACCCCGCGGCTCGATTGCACACTGCACCATTGCACCGCGGGGCCATTGGCCTCTCTCCGCTCGGTATCGTCGCAGCGCTCGCCGGCGCGCTCGTTCTCGGCGACACGGCTCGAGCCGAAAAGCGGCGTGCCGCTCGAGCCTGCCTTTTTGCGCGCCCCGGCCTCTCCTCTCCTCTCCTCTCTCGCCACTCTTCTCTTCTCTTCTTTCCTCTTCTCTTCTCTTCTCTTCTCTCCTCTCTTCTCCGCCGCCGTTTATCGTGAGGCCACGACGCGCTCGTGGCTCCACGACTGCCGCGGCTTGAGCCCGCTCGCTCTGCGTCACACGCGAAACGAGGACGGGTCACCGTGTCACGAGCCGATTTTTCCGACCACCGGCATCTTTCGCCAAACGACCACCGGTCAGGCAATGGTAGCTCTCGAACGCTGCCTCGCTTCTGCTCGGTGGTACCCTTTTAATCCTACCATTCGATTAATATTCATACTCTCCTCTCCTTTTCCATATTTTCCACCTTTATTTTCGCCCAGCGCAACTACCATCGCGAAGAATTACGTAAAATTGCGCAAGGTAGGAGGAGGGAACGCGACGCGGAGTATGATTTCTTTCCACTGACCGTGGCAGTCCGGGACCACGTGCCATTTACAGTTCTTATCTTGTTTACAAGGAACGGTTTCGCGAAACTGAAGCGTAACGAGAGCTCGCCGAGCGTGTATCGGTGACGGATACCTTTTAATTTCAACCTTGTCTCGGTAGATAGTTATCTCGGTATCGGACGAACGTTGGAAAAAAGAAGAACCTCGCAGCTTCCCTGTCACGGTATCGCTTTCTACGACTCGGGTAGGGATCGAGGAGACGCCTGGATTAATGTTCCAGTTGATAGTTGCGTCGTGGATGGAGCTTCCATTCCCCACACGCTGCCGGTGTCCCCGAAACGAGGCTGTTAATGGAGTCAGCACCGCTCTCCCTACGCCTGGAGCCTCCGAATTTAGCGAAAGCGAGTAGAGGAGGCACGGGTTGTCCCGTAGGCGATTAATTAATTTCTATCTGCGCAAATCTCGGTCTGTCCGGATTGCAAGATTCTCGTTTCCTGCGCGCGCGCTATCGGTCCGCCATAAATAACGCGACAGCAGAAATAAACGCGGTATCGGGCCCAGTCTGCTCGTCTCTCGATTATGTATTAGCCTACACACGCGTAAACCCATATAGTCTTCTCTCCCCCTCTCTCTCTCTCTCTGTCCCGGTCTATCTCGCGTCTGACTACTATCGCCGACGTATCCGCTATCTACTGCCGCTGGCTCTCCCCGGGTGCTCGCCGAAGGGAGAGAGAGTCGACTCGTAGGAGGTCGACGTCAATGGAGATCGCTGTTTCGACCGGTCTACACGGAATCCTTTTATCACCAGGCCGTGTGTCCCGGCCTGAAAGAAACTACTGTGCACGCGCGTCGATGGTCGCGTTCCAGCGTGTGGCTCTATCGAAGATAGCGCTATCGGTTTCACCGATTTCCTCCGTCTATTTTTTCCGGCTTTCCGGCTATACAGAGAGAAACTACGAACCTTCGCCTTTGCCCGCTCGCCAGACCATCGTCGCATTCGAATCGCCCGATTTCTCTGGATATTCCTTTACCCGCTTCCTTCGATCCGCTCGCTGCAAGCCTTATCTCGCCACGGGAACAATTGCCGGAGTACCGTTTTTTCGCTCAGTGTTTCTCAACGGGGCCTTAACGCGCGATTTTTCAGGCCACGTATCTTCGGGATCGCGATTTTTGGGACCTCGGAACCTTTGGGCCTCGAAATTTTGGGGCCTCGGAACTTTGGGGCCTCGGAACTTTGGGGCCTCGAAACTTTGGGGCCTCGGAACTTTGGGGCCTCGGAAACTTGGGGCCTCGGAAACTTGGGGCCTCGAAAACTTGGGGCCTCGGAAACTTGGGGCCTCGGAAACTTGGGGCCTCGGAAACTTGGGGCCTCGGAAACTTGGGGGCCGCGATTATTAAGGCCAGCGTATGTTGGGGACCGCAATTTTCTAGGGCACGTATTTTA